GCGCGGGCAGCTTGCAGCGCAGCCTCGGCGCGGGGACTGGAGCGGCGGCGGTAATCCGAGCTGCCGAGGCTCGGGAGTCACGTGGGCACGGCGGAGGGAGGACCACGGGGAGGGAGCGCGGGAGGGGGCTGTGGGAAAGGCCGGGCGGGCGCAGGCCCATTCACGGCCAGAAAGCAGGGCTTTGAAATCCGAGCCCGGGCGCTGCCAGACTGGTCGGGCGAGCAGGGCCGGCGGGCGCGGGCGCCACCGCGGGTCGGGGCGGGAGCGATCGCTCCACTGCACCTTCAAGGCCTCGGGCTCGGGCGGGGGGCTTCCGGCGCGGTCAAAGGCGAGCCCTGCGGTGGATGCGGTCCTCCGCGCATGCCGCCGGACCGGTGCGCAGCACTGAGCGGGCATGCAGAGGGCCATGGAGCTGCCTGCCTTGGGGACTGTCCGCCCCGGGTACAGACCGTCCATAAACTCCGACCCTCCTCCATAAATGTCCTTTGACTCCTTTTCTAAGCGGTGCCACTGCCACTCGCACTGGGGTGGTGGTCTCCTGGCCCACCCTCCTTCCTCATGTGTAGGGGTCTGTTTTAGACCTATAGAGCATTCCCTAATGCCTGGGGCGTGTGTGTGGACGCACTCATGTGCATGTGGGCAAGGGCAAGAACAGCCGTCGTCCTGGAGACTCCTGGTAAACCCATTCATGGGGTGACGTTGCTGGGGCTCTAGGGAAATGCAGGCACAAGCAACTCGCGACGACAGGGCCGCAGAAGGCACTGGGGGCTCATGAGAAGGCCAAGCCACGGTGTCCTAAAGCCTGGGGACAGGTGATCCCCCGCATACAGGTCAGAGAGGTTCTTTGAACTAAATCAAAGAATGGGGCACCTTTCCTCCCATTGCTCAGTGATCTGCAGTGTCTTGCCTTCCTCCAGGGATCTCTGAGGCTCAGCTCCCATCTACTGGGGGGATGGGGAAGTCACATGCCACATTACCCAGGGAATCAGGATTAAGGGCTAGGAGAAGGCAGGATTAAGGGTTGTGGGCTGGCCAAAAGGAAGGTGCTGGTCATAGGGGGAGGTGGGCCCCAGGCCTAGTCTCCATCAGGTGAGTGGGCAAGGCTCAGCATGAAACCAGCTCTCCAGGACAGGTGAGGCCCTGGGGCAGCTGTGGCATCAGCAGGGCACAGGTGCCAGCAGGGATATAGCAGGCAGGTATGGCTAAGGTTTCTGGCATTTCTTTATTGGGGCAGGGATGGAACACATCATTCTGCAGAGATCTTTGCACTGGAAGATGTGTATTACCCACGAAGATGAACATACACACACCAGGCCAGTGCTCTGGGGGAAGGAGGGGCTGAGGTCAAGTTCTTCTCACAAGGGACAATTAGTCTGTTTCCAGCTTCTGAGGCGGTGGCTCCACTCAGGAGGGAAGCCAGCTGTCCTGAGCTAGGGTGCAGCTGACAGCGCTGGGGTCCAGGGGGCTGGACTGGGAGGAGGTGGGCCTGACAGAGCAGCCTGTCCCCCTCCCTACCCTGGGTTGGTGGTCAGGTCCAACCGTAGGTGAGGCAGGTCCTCAGGCTCCTCATGATGTTGGCCTGGAGACCCTGAGTGCTTCAATGGGCCATTTGGGCCCTTCTCCATGCCAGGCATGTCAGAGGATAACCCTGCGGTCCAGGTGGTCCCCGCGACCACTCCGCTGGTGCCTTACTTCCAGGTGTTGGTTCTGGACCTTCTCAAAGTGCTGCAGCAGCTCAGCATAGTCGATGCTGGGGGAGTCGCCTTTCTGGGACTTGGGGGCAGCCTTCAGACTGTCTCTGGGAAGATGGACAGAGTCAGAGTTTGCATCCCAAAGTTTGCATACTGGTGGATTTCAGTCTCTGGGAATCTGTGTGCCCCTGCCCATCAACACCTTCCCAGTAGCCAGCACCATAGTGCTTGGGGGCCTAGTGTCTACCCCCTTTCCTGCAGCTGGTGGGATGGGCCAACATGCTGCTTGAATCTCTCAGCCTGTGGGCTTGGGATGGTACCCAGAGAAGGCAGTGCACGGGGAAGCATTTCCTGTTTACCAGTGGCTCCCTTTGGGGTGAGTGCCAGGGCTAGCAGCCAGCCAGGAAGCCAGCTGGGGCCTGGAACAGGGTCTGGGGAGGAAGAGGTGGCAGCCGGGCCCTTTCTCTGGGGCAAAGCTGGGGCTGGAGACAACTGGTATCACCAAAGTCTCTCTGCTGGGCCCTCAACCTGGCAGGGCATTTGTTTTTGAGTGTTGGGGGACCTAAGGCCTATAGTCAGTACTTATCCCTAGAGAGGAAGAGCTGGTCCCATCACTGAACATGCTAATGGCACCTCCTGCTGCTAACCATTCCCCTTAGTTCTCTGCACAGCGGCACAGACTGTGTACTACACACCTACAGGGTGCATGAGGCTCCCTCCAACTGTTTAATGTAGCAACAGCCCTGTTGCCCCACATCAAGCCCAGTGTTTAATGTGCCACTTGACCTTGTCCCATGGTTAGCTGTCCCCCCAGCATAGCCTTGTGTTACATTCTGCTTATCCTTCCTCTGGCCTCACTGGCTTAGATTAGTAGAGTGGTGTGGGCTGGAAGCTGTGGCCTGGTACCTTGGCAAGGGGTTTTATGAAGAAAGTGGGCAGCACAGTGAAATGGACACTCTGGGCCTTTTGAATCTATGAAGAGGCCCCAGCATGGCTGGTGCTGGGGGCAGCCAAGTACCTCAGAGGGCCTAGCCTAGCCATTTGACCTTGGAAATGTACTCCATTTCCTGTCTATAAAGAAGGCTGTCTTGGAAGCCACAGCATGGTATGTGGGTTTAAGGCTCACTCCAGATATGACCTGAAAGATTTGTCTGGTGCCCAGCTCCAGCTTAGGTATAGGATGGGCACCTACTGTGGCTACAGCTCTGCTTCTCCAAGGGCAGGCAGCCCAAGGCTGTTTAGTCTAGATTGGAGAAATACAACAGAGCTCCCCACAAAGAACTCTGACCAATGAGCTTGGCCAGGCTGGAAAAACCCATAGCTGGAGCCTAAAGATGTTGCTGTGGCCCTCCTGGCTGCAGGGCAAGATCACTCCCGGATGCAACTCTAGAGGACTTGAGCCTCCCTTCCTCTCTTTCTGGGGGAGGACACTGCCTGAAAACATCTTAGACAGCATTGGTGGCTGATGCTTTTCTGGGCCTTGAGCCACTGCCTCCACAGCCAGGGCTGGACCACTGTTGGCTGAAGAAGGGGAGGCCCAGTGAAGCCCACTTGAGGGGGATGGACTGTGGGTAGCACTGTAGTGCTTTTGCTGCTTTCTTCAGACTCGCCTTGAAATGGGGGCCCAGTAGTCCTGTGGCTAAGGTGCCACTGTCCCAGACAACAACCTGGGCTTCTGAGGGGGTGGAGGAACTTGGAGCTTGTAGCTCTGAGTTCAGAATGTGGCTAGCTGTTATCTAAGCCATTTGGTCTGGGGCAGGAGGAAGACTTGAGGCCACAGGGATAACACTGGGGGGGTGTCTTCTGAGTGGCCCTAGAGTCTGAAGAGTACTAGCAAACTGAAGCCTGAGGTCTGGAGCAAGGACTGAGATGAGGGGTCCGGGGAGATACCCAGGGTATGGGCTGGGGAAGCACCTTACTCCCTGGGACCTCAGAATATCCTGCCTCACAGTAGATAGACCCTTCCTAGCCTGAGGTCTTGAGAGAGTGAAAGGTGTGACTCCATGGGTGAAGGGGGGGACACTGCCTGGCTCTCATGAGCCTAGAGGTTCCTCTTCCTGCCAATTTTTGTCATTTGTTTTTGAGACAGAATCTTATATAGCCTAGGTTGGCCCTTAACTATAAAGCTGAGAATGACCTTCAACTCCTGATCTTCCTGCCTCTACTTCTCCAGTGCTGAGATTACAGGTATCTCCCTGCCTGTTGGAATGGGAATGTTCTCTTTACCACAGTTCTCAGGCACTGGGTGTCAGGGACACCTGGCCAGCAGTTGGCAATAATTCACAAGTCCAGAGCTGGCCCCTGCCACTCTACCCATGCACCTGCCACCACCTTTTCCTTCAGAGGTTCCCTCCTGCCTCACTGAAGATGGTTCCCGGGGAGTGGCCTTAAGCCTGAGAGTGGCCCACAGTCCCCAGACCCCAGTGAGCTGGTACACAAGGAGGTATGGGTGGGGAGTGTAAAAACTTCCCCAGCTGTTCTGCCTGCAGGCCTGCTGTCTGCCAGCTGCCTGCCCCACCCTGGGCTGGGACTGTCCACAGTCCCTTCCCAGGGTTGTAAGCTGCTCCTTTCCATCCAGTCCTGTAACCTGACTCTTCCCTCAGCTGTCTGAGGCCCCTTTTCTACCCACCATTTCCACGCCTGCATCTTAAGTTCAACTTTCCCAGGTCCTTGCAAAGAAAGGCTGAGAGGTTGAGAGGAGCACTCCAACACCTCCTGCCCATTCAGCCCACCTGTAAGAAATCAAGAGCCCAGAGAGGGCGTGGGACTTGCCTGAGGCCACATAGCAAACCTATGGAGAACTTGGACCAGATCCTAGTCCAGTCCTGAGAATCATTCAGCTGTCCTACAGAATCCTCTACTCAGGGGTCCCAACCTCTTGGCCTCAAGACTTTCTGGATGGACCATGGAGGGGGTCTGAGGAAATCCTTTTATCTAGCTTCCCTTTGGAGATTTGTTGTCCCCTAGTCTGGGGAGTCTAGAGAAGGGTATGATAATTCACAGCCTCTCTTCCCTTCCCTAGACAAGATGTTTCCTGCAGAGAGCCCTGAGAGGGGCTCCGGGAAGTGGCAGGGCTTTGCGGCCTGGCCTGAACCCCTCAACCCCCAGGAAGGCAGCCTTTTCTACTGTCTCCTCCCTTCCACCACACCTTTCCCCACTCAGTGGCTTCCCGGTAGGGCCCAGGTAGAGGGAAGGCTGGGGAGGCATGGCGTCACCTCCGAGCCTCTCCTGAGTCTCAGAAGCAGGAGGTATACTAGCTGGGGGAGTCTACACAAGGCCAAGCCCACAGTGGCTTTATTCCTTCCAGGGGACACTCAAACACACCAAGTACTGCCTGCCTCCCAGGGTTCACTTGGTGCCAGCCACAGCTGATGAGACACAGCCAGCACAATGCTGCCTGGGACTGGGCAACAGACTGGGATAACCTCTTAGGTATCCTACACTCAGCTCTGGAGAAGCCAGGCTGGTGGAAGGGGTAGGGAGAGGCTCAGCCCAGTGGTCTGAAAGATACAGAGCCACCAGAGACTTAGTGGGCAGGCCCATCCTGAGGCTGCCTGCATCTGGCCTGAAGGCAAATGCCTGAGGCCTTCGCTGCAGCAAGGTGCCAGGCCTGCTGAGCAGCTCCTATAGCTTAGGAGGGAATTCTAGACACACAGGGCAGCTGATGCAAGCTGGGTGCTCTCCATTCAGCGTAAATCTTCTCAGTGGCTCTGCTTGTTTCCATGGCGACCTGACAAGTGAAATTTTCCATCTCGGATGCCAAATGCCTGTGGATGAGGCAAAGCCTCCAAGGGTTACCAAATATAGACACAGCCCAAGAGGCTGTGGGGCTGGGGCCAGCAGAGGGTTCAGGGTAGGAGCTTGAACTCCCCCACCCCGCCCTGCCCAGAAGATGCCACTCAGGGATCTGCTCTTCCCATGGGCAGGACCCTAACAGGGTAGCTCAGGTGTGTTCCTACCTCCTACTGTACTGGGACGTCGGTGGGAAGGTCCCAGAGATGCTGGGGCTCTCAATGGGCCAGGTCTGAGCATCTTGCCAGGTGGCAAGCCATCTGAGGCTGGGAGATGCCCAGGACTGGGCTCTACCTGGCTCTCTGGCACCCTCACTCTCCCTCCCTGTAACTCTTCCCCAGAGGTCTCTGCTGGACAGAGGTCCTAGACTGAGGCCTGGTCTCCTTGAGCTGCTTGGGAAACCATGTCTGTTCTTTTCTCCCCTTCATGCACTCCCCAGAACTCCCTTGTGGGGTGAACAGGGTTGAAGTGACTAGGGGGTGAGGTGTAGGGGCAGGGCACCTTAGAGAGTTCCCTGGATCCCCCCTGGAGGGGCCTGGGCCCGGCACTCACTCTGTCTGCAGCAGCTCAGGGTTGGGCACACACTGAAGCCGGTGAGACAGCAGCTGGAAGGCGCTGCTCTGTGGCAGCAGCATGAGCAGGCCGTACAGGGCCTTGATCAGGTATGGGTTATTCTTCACATCCAGCAGCTGCAGGCGTAGATCTGCAGCAGGGCAGAGGGCAGGGGTCAGGGATCTTGGCACTGCTCTGGAATCTACCAACGCAGACCTCATGCCTCAGCCTCGCTGGGAGAGGGCTGAAGCTATCCTGGACCCAGTACTGCCAGGTAGAAACCTAGTTTATAGGGATGGGCTGCTAGGTGGCCTGGCTTAGGGTGAAGCAGTGGTTCCTCTATAGCCAGCCAGGCCTGGTCCTCCTCCAAGAGGGTCTCAGCTGTTTCTGTGACCTAATCTCCCTTTCTAGTCCATTTGACTGACCTGTCTAGTGTTCCCCTCAGCCTGAGACCCCCTTTCCCCCAAACCTGCTAGGCCAGACCCACCTCTCCCAGGCTCAGTTGCCTTCTTGGTAATGAGGGCTGGCAGGGGGAGGGGTAGGGGGCTTGTAGAGTAACAGATTCCCTAGTTGGCTCTGCACGTGCCAGCACGTGAGCTATAAATAGAGTGAGCTGTAGAGAAAGAGTGGATTAGGGCTGCACTAAGAGACGGCAGGATGGGAAATGCCTTATGTGTATCGAGGCATACACCAGAGCCCTGAATGTCCAGGAGGTGATCTGTATTCCCAACTCAGACACAGCCACTACCACACCATCTCTTCCAGGGCAGGGAACAAACACATCCCTAATTTCTGCCCAGCATCTATTTCAACCTGGGGACCTGGAACCTTGGCTGGCTGTACCCCAAGAAAGCCCCAGCTAAATCCCAAATTGGGAGACAGAACCAGAAAGAGGCGCTCCTTTCCCTCCTGAGCCTTTACAGGCATACTGGCCCCTCCTATGTGTCTTGGACCATGGTGGGTCTTGTTAAAGACCTTCTGGAGAGCGACCTTGCCTTCCTGACAGGAGCTAGGGTGGGACTTGGGGAGGTTGTTGGGAGCCTGAGTTAGCCAGGTCTTGATGTCAGGTAGGAGGGGACTGGGTGGCTTCTCTTAATTAGTCCCTCCTTTGCCCCAAAAGGCAGAAGTCACAGATGCCTATGATATTGTGACATATATATTTGGTATTCACCCCAGTTTTCAGCACACAGCTCCTAACACCCTTGGAGTCTTTGAAACTAGAGCTTTACCATGCTAATGCATTACAAGTTAGGCTGATCACCAATGGTCAAAGATAATCAACCATGCCTAAATGATGAAGCTCCCATAAAAATCCAGGACTAGGTTCAGAGAGGTTCCTGTTAGTGGAACTCATGGAGCCGAGTGGAGTGTGGTGCTCTTTCTACGCAACTCACCACCTCCTTTTCCTCTGTATCCTTTATAAGAAACTGGTAAATGTTTTTCCTTGAGTCTTGTAAGCTACTCCAGCAAATTAATAGGACCTAAGGGCTTGTGGGAGCCCTGATTTATAGCTGGTTGGTCAGAAACCCAAGTTGAATGACTGGGGTACTGGTGGCTGCACATGGAGAGGGATGTAGGGGTAGGGATGGAGCCTCTGCCCTTGAGACTGGATGCTAGCTCCAGGTAGGCTATGAGGACTGACCCGCATTTGAGAACACCCAGCTACTGGGGAGGGGCAAGAAGTCCTCACACCTGTTGGGGGTTATAGGCGAGCTCTGCATTGATCAGTGGGGTATCTGAAGCTGAACACATTTTACCATGCACACAGCTCAGGAGAAACCTGAGCCTGCTTCCAATCCTTTCTTCCTTCTGGGAATCTTTTCTTCCTTTTGGGCCTTGGGGAAGTTGGGCCTGCCCATGCCTCTGCTGTTAGCAAGGCCTATGTGAGCATCAGCTGCTTAGGGCTTCCCCCTGGTTGGCCTAGACCTGGCCTCAGGTGAGCCACTTAGGCTATCCTGACCCCATAGGGCCTATAGGAAGTGAGATGTTAGGCAGGGCATGCCTGGGACAGGCTGAGGAGGGTCTCCCTCTTGCTCTGCAGTGTCCAGGGCCCAAGTCACTGCAGCCTCTGCTGCTTAGAGCAGCTGGTCTTTGAAATGTGAGGGAGCTGAGGGGGTGGGTATCCTTGAACCGCTGCATTTTCTTTTAGACTCCAGGGTAAAGGGTGATCACTCAAGCTGGGTAGGCCAGAGATGCTGTCAGGAAGCTGACTGGGGTGGCCAGCTAGGCCAGGAAGGTGAACATGGCCAGAGCTGTCTCTGGCTTCTCTACTGCACCATAAACATTCATTTGGAATGCTGTGTGCTTTGGGGAGCAGGCGCTACATGTATGGAGGTGCCAAGAGCTGTGCTCGCCCAGCCAGTTGCTGTTTCTGCACATTCAGCCGGGGTGTTACTCGCTGGGCAGTCCCCGCCCATTGGCTCCTGGTGGTGCATGCCATCTCTTGCTTAGAAGAGGAGAGGGCACAGCTTCTGGGTGAGCAGAAACACCTTCAGGGCATCCACAACTTGAGAGAGCCAGGGAAGAGGGTAGCAGGCTGGGGAGGGGCAACCAGGGACAGCCCCAGGGCAGGGGTCTGGTATTAACATTCCGGGGGTTTCATGTCAATACTGGCCTGTGTCCATATGACCCATTTTGAGGACACAGACAGGACCAAGTTCAGATGCCATGTGTCCTATGCTGCTCCAGCTGGCCTCTCACTCCCAACTACCACTATCAGTCTTACATTCTTGACATTCTAGAAGCATCCCTGGGGTCACTGCCCCCTTTCCCTCCCCAGCCTCTGTGGTGTCTGGATTTGGCTCCACACCTCCCTCCCAACATCCAAGTCAGCAGAAGGCCATGGCAAGACTGTGGTCCTACCAGCAATAGCAGTGGGGATGAGGACTCTTACATGTGAAGATGGGGCATTCAATCAGCTGCACCAGTTTATCCACCTCTGTGAGGAAGTCCACAGTGACCTCCAGGTCCCCACTGGGTAGGCAGTCAAGGAAAGTCTCTTCAGTGAGAGTATTTGGGAGGGGCAGGGCTGGACCAGACTGGTCACACCATGCCAAGAGGTAGCAGAGGCTGGACCCTAGGAGCTGGGCTCAGAGCTCCACATAACCCTTCTCCAGCCCTAGTTTCCTGTGCGGAGCCCGGCTCTCTTGAAGTGAAATTTGGTATATGGAGGATGTACATCTATTTGCCTTGCCTTTCTGTCCCTCTAAATGTGACGTGGCACAGCTGTCCCTTTTGTATGAGTGCCTGGATTCCGCTCCCACAGCTCTTGCCCTCTGTGCCCTCCTCTTATTATGGCTCTGCAGCTGGGCAGGGGAAGGTTAGGCAGGAAGGGCCCCTGCTTTCTGCCTAAGGACAGCCCACCAACAGGCCAGTGAAATTTGGGAGCCGGGCATTGGTATCCTGGTATCTGAGTTACATAAGTGGCTGAGAGGAGCAGGCTTAGGCTGTGGAAGGAAAGCAGACTCCCTGAGAGCTGGGTGCTAGGCAAGAACACATGTGATTTTTCACTGAGGCCCTTGTGACCCCTCAGCTCCTGGCTCATTATGGCAAGAAGCTAGTTTTGGCTCCTAAATAGTGTTCTGACTTCAGGTCATACATCAGGTTCATATGTCAAGTTTACAGATGAGGCTGTTTTCTCTCTCTCTCTCTCTCTCTCTCTCTCTCTCTCTCTCTCTCTGTGTAAGTTGGGCATAGTGGCACATACTTTTAATCCTAGCCAGCTAGGGCTACAAAGTTTAAAAGGGTTACTCTGTTTACAAAGATGTGCCTTGGTGTGGTGTATGTGTGGAGGGCCCCTGGTCCTTCCTGAGGTCTCTGAAGGTCTAAAACAAGAGCTAGCCCTGCAGGCCTCCCCGATTCTTGCTCTAGCACCTCAATATGTTCTTTTGCCCAGGGCTTCTCCATCCATAAAAGGGGCCAACAGAGATACAGTGTACTGAGTTCTCACCTCTTCTGAAGCAGGAGGTTGGTGCCCCTCACTCAGCCCCTGTCCCCACTCCCAAGTTTTTCTAGGCCTACTTCCCCTCCAGGAGGCTGTAAGGGAGCCCTATTTACTGTTAACAGCATCTTCCTAAACATGTCCCCCATAGTGCTCCTGGCCAGTTGCCCTGATGATGTCACAAGCCCTGGAAGCGGAGTATAAGATGGTAGCCGAATCTTCTGGTCCCCACAGGGTGAATGAATAGCAGTGAGAGAAGGATACAACTTCTGGATGAGGTCATAGGCATGCCGGTAGTTCTGGGTGAGGAAGCAGAGTGACACAGTGGTGACTGGGTTGTGGCACCAGGAGCGGTATAGGCAGCAGAAGAGGTTCTGGCTCTCCTGAGGGGAGAGGTACAGAGTTAGAAGGCTCGGTTCCCTGCCCCTGGAGCCACACAGGACCTAACGAGGGAAGGACCTTGAGGGGCTACAAAGTGGGGCCCTCAGGGGCAGCTGTGGTGCCAGCTCAGCACTGGGCTGTGTTTGGCAGCCCAACTGGGAATGAGCTGTCACAAAGGAAAAGCTGACAGCTCCTCAGACCCTGTCATTACCTCCTGGCCTCACAGAGCCATGTGGTGGTAGTGGTGGTGGCGGCAAGGGCCTGGTCAGGAGTGAGCCTATCCTTTCTAAGCTGGCATTTCTGTCCCCAGCTAAATGACAGTAATTGTCCTCCTTAGAACTCTGTGGCCTGGGAGCCTGGGGCTGGGAAACAAGGTGTGGGCAAGGAGGAAGCTTCCTCGGGGACTAGGACCTTTCTCCATTCTCAAATGCCATCTTCCCCCACCTTGGCAGCCCACCTCAGGCTGTGTACCAGGAAACCAGCCTGTCAGCTAAGCCCGCATTTAGGGAGCTCCTGCCCGAGGAAAATTCTTAAGGCCTCTGCGAATGTCTGGGAGGAACCACAGGGGGAAGGCTGGGCTGTGGCCTGGATCATTCCAAGCCACTTGGCCCCAGATGCCCTCATAGACATGGGCTTGAATGTCCTGGTGACTCCTGGGGAGGGGTAGAAGCAGGGTCCTGCTGGGTGTGGGACAGAGGGAAGGTGACTCAGGCCCAGACTGAGAAATAACCTCCTAGTGCTCCTACATCCACAGTGGCATTGGTCCCTGCAAGCTGAGGGGAGCCCAGTCCCTCAGCCAGGCCTTTTGGGCATATGAGCTGAGTGTCTCCAGTCCTATAGTGTTTCTCCTTGGGCATCCTTACCCAAAGCCTGGGATAGGAAGCAATGAGATACCCTGACTTATGACAGGCATTTTATCAGACAGATGCATCCAGCTGTGGGAGAGAGGCCAGGGTTAAGGAGGACAAGGAAAGCAATTAACCCTTGGTTCCCAAGCAGGATTTCAAGTTTGACCCTGAGAAGGGGGCTTTGTCAAGGGAGTGGCCCAGAGCCAGCAGAGCCTGTTTTCAAGAAGGCAGTGAGTAGTGGGGCAGGAGTTGAACATGTGGATCCTGCCTTGGGCAGGGAGCCCTCTGTGGACAGAGACCTTGGGCCAGGGAAGATCCACATTTTATTGCTCCTCTTGTGAGCTTCCTGGGGCCAGCTGAGGAGTGGGCTGGGTACCAGGGGTCAGAGGGGGAGTACCAGGGTCTTCAAGTCCTTGAGCTGGTTTCTCAGCTGGAAGAGCTCAGTGGAGGTGAGTAGGATGGTGTTGAGGGTGTGCACCATAGTGGAGGCGAACTTGAGATCCTCCTCCCGGAGCAGGATGTCTGCCATGGAGTGGAAGATGTTCTCTGCATTCAGTAGGAGACAGAGCTGCCTGAAAAACACACCAGGGGAGGTTACACCCAGGCTTTCCAGGCCTTGAATTGGCTTTTTAGGGTCCTGGAGGAACTTGCTGTTTCTCGCGGTTCAAGGGGAGCTTTGATGCTGGGGTGTGTGTGATGCTCACAGGAAGCCTGACTCTGCACCTTCCAACGTCACCCACTCTAATGCCACAACCATGCTCCCATAGGTTATATTTATACCTCTCCTCCCCTACAAAACAGCTGGATCTCTGGTTATCAGGGATGCACAAAGTTACCTTCACAAGCTTTCATATACGTCAACAAATCTATATGCTATGTTCACATATATGTCCCATACATAACAACAGTGTTGCCCCCCACCCCCAGGTCAAGGTGCTCCTGCCCCTTTTGGACCTTACTTCCTTAAAACATTTTTTAAAATTTATTTTTATTTTATGTGTGTGATGATTTGCCTGCATGTATGTACATGTACTCAAGTTGTGAAATGCATGCCAAGTCCAGAAGTCTTGTAGGATTCCCTAGACCTGGAGTTAGGGATTGGTTGCTTGCCATCATGTGGGTGCTGGGAACTGAACCCAGGACCTCTGCAAGAGCAACCAGTGCTCTTAACTGCTGAGCCATCTCTCCAGCTCCTGGACCTACCTTCTGACAGAGCTCATTTTTACCTGAGAAATTCCCTGCACACAGGTCATAAAGGTCTGAGGTCTGTCCTGTTCAGGTGTGTCTCCAGCTGGGGATGCTGGCAGGTAGCCAGGCCCAGCAACATTTGTGGGCTGAACGGACCCTAAGCTTTATCTTCATGATAGCGGCATGGGGAAAGCGGCATGGCGAGGTCCATAGCTGCACCAACTGGCCCCCATGTGTCTCCTTTAGTAAGAGCCCTGGGGTAAGGCCTGGACTTCATTAGATAGAAAGAGGCTCCAAGCTAACAAAGAGGAACCCAGGGAATGAAAAGAAGTCAAGACCGGGAGGGGTCTGCTGACCTTTTGGTGGCAGGAATGGGCAAGGGGTTGGTGAGCTGGTGAGTGAACATACTTCGTGCTAGGTAGGGCTGGTGGTCCATGGCACCCTATCCTCATGATCTCTGGTCTGGGGCTAACTCCTAGTCTCTCCCCCAGGGAAGCAACACCACAGACTAGATATCACGGGCTGAGGCTTCAAGGTCTATGCACTGAATGACAGGAGTCAGGTTTTGAGACAACATGCCCAAAACATAGCCACTTCTTTCCAGGTCCTGACCTCATATGGAACACAGCATGATCTGGGCCTAGTTTCCTGCTTCACTATGAACACCAGCCATGGCTTTGCAACCATGCTGGAGAAGATTCTGCCCTGCCCCCAAGCCCCAGCCAAAAACCAAAACCAAAACAAAACAAAAAACAAACAAAAAAAACAAAGCATCTGGTAATGGAGAGGCCAAACCACGAAGTGCAAACAGTGGGGTAGGCTGTCTCCAGACTAGACCCAATGGGAACAGGCTTGGGCAAGAGACCATGAGAGAAATCCAAACAAGTTTTGGGCACAGAAGGGGCAGGAGTGGGGTTAGGAGGGAGGCAGACCCAACCACAAGGGGCTGCAGCATCTCCACTGCACACAGATCACTCAGGTGGCAAAGGCCACTACTTGGAGGGTAGGCAGAGGCGTTGGAGCCTAGTGGCCCCAAACCTATCCAGGTGATCTCAGTACTTCAGCACAGCAATTTCTTTCTCTCTTAAATGGGGGGAGCTACAAGAAAGCAGGTGGGAAGACGGGATACTTCATGTGAGGTGCCCAGTGCTCGGTGTGTGGCACATGGAGGCCAAAGCCCTCATAATACCGATGACAAGTCAGGCAAGTAGGAGGAAGAGGCCCTATTGTAGAACTGTTTTCCTGTCACCTCTCTGTTCTCCCATCCCTAGAAGAGCCCTGTCTCCAAGGCTGTGGGACAGAAATGTTCAAGAAAGGCAGGCTGGGGAGCTCTCTGACAAATGGTCACAACTGTCCGTCTCCTGCAGCTGCTGCCATCTCCATGACAGAGGCCAGCAGCTGAGCTGCTGCCAGGCACCACTCTCCAGGGACCCCAGGTCAGTCGGATCGGGACTGCGACAGGCAGAAGCTGGGGTGCCTCCCATGTGAGGATGGGCTAGGGAGGATTTGAAGGGACAGGTAAGGCTGAGGTAAAGCAGACAAAACATCATTGTCTCCTGCTGTCCCAGAGAACCCAGGGATGCTGATGGTGCTGTAGGTGAGGGACAGTGGAGTTTTCTGGAAATAATCTCTTGCCATTGGTGATAGTATGCTTTCTGGTTTTCCTTTCACCTCACCAACTGAGCCCTGCCTTCTAAGGTTGGGCTGTCCTGCTCTTTTTCTTTTCTGGTCTTTGTCTCCCTGTGGGCTTGGGTCCTACAGATATGTTCAAAGCAGCCTGGAGTCAGTGACTCCCACACATGCCTCTCCAGTCCTGGGTTTCACGGAAGGGGCTCTGGAGGGAATAGTGCCTGCAAGTGGATGACTTTGCTTGGTGGATGACCTTGCATGGCTGCCTACTGGGCATTTTGAGTTTCATAGGGCCACAGTGCTCTGGTGTCCCTACAGACTTGCCCTCCAATGGCTGTAAACAGCATCACTGCCCACCCAGCCCCATGATCACCAGCCCCTCAACCTGGTCAGGCAGTGGGCCAGGGCTCTGTCTTCAGTGTGCTCCTTCCTCAGCCTCATCTCTGGACTACCAATCCCAGGGGCAAATGCTAATCATCTCCTGCTGGGTCAATCCCAAGACATCTCTGTTGGTCTCCCTGATGATTCTTTAAAAAAATTATTTGGTCTTTTTGAGACAGGGTCTCCCTGTAACCCCAGCTGTCCTGGAACTTGCTATGTAGACCAGGCTGGCCTCAAACTCAGAGATCGCCTGCTGCTGCCTCTCAAGTGCTGGGATTAAAGGCATGTGCCACCATGCCTGGTCTAAAAATCTTATTTATTTTTAAAAGAAGGTTGATCTTTATTATTAATTATGTGTGTATGTGTGTTTGCATGTGGGCATGAGCCCCTGAGTGCAAGTACCCACAGAGGCTGGAGGGGCTCGAACCCCCAGAGCTAGAGTTAACAGGCAGCTGTGAGCAACTTAACATGGGTGCTGAGAACCAAATTGGCTCTTAACTGCCAAGTCATCTTTCTAACCCCTGATTTTGTGAGCCACCTGACATGGCTGTTACGAACAGAACTCAGGTCCTCTGGAAGAGTAGTACATGCTCTTAACTACCGAATCATCCTTCCAGCCCTGCCTCCTGCTGATTCTTTCACCCTCAAGGTCACTAACAGTGCGCCGGCTCTGGACAAGTTTAAAAGGCCGAGCTGAGCTTGGGGTCCTCATCTATGGCTTTTCGCTGGATCCACTGTGAAGTCTAGCCCCCAAACCTCACACCTTCTGTAGCTTCCTCTCTAGTTTCAGCCTCTGGCATTCTTCCCTAGGGATGCCTTAGCCTCTGGGCTTTTTTTCTGTTTTGGATCTAGCCACACCTGTTCTAACTTCTGGCCACAGAGGACTCACCTCTCTTCTGGGCCCTCCACATTCTCCTCCTAGGAGCAGGCCCTATTTCTTTCAGAGCACCCGTGTACTTGTTTGCTACTCTTGTTTGTGATTCTCGTGTGCTTCAAACTAGGAGGGCCTGGTGCGTAGCAGCTCCTCTACAGGCCCTGTGGGATGTCACTGCATGAAGGGACCTGCCTTGCTCATCTTGCTCAAAGATGTCATAGATGGGGGCTGGAAAAATGGTTAAAGTGCTTACTCTGCAAGCATGAGGACCTCAGTTTGAATCCCCAGAAATCCATGTAAATGCTGGGTAGGGGTGGTTGAATTTCTACAGGGGATTCCCCAGAGCAAGATGGTAGGACTAGCCATATCACTGAGCTCTGGGTTTGATTGAGAGACCCTGCCTTAATAAGAGCTATTGAGGACAATCTCTGACCTATGCACAGGCCTCCATATGCACATGCACCCACATGAAGAAGTATAAACACACACACACACACACACACACACACAGGCAGAGGCTTCATGGACAGGCCTATAGGCATTCTTGTCCCCAATTCTAGCACAATCCTCTCTGCTATACCTATAGGCAGGCTCCTGCATGTTCTGAATGCTCTGGTCTGCAGAAAGCAGCTACCTAGACTTAAACTTTTACCCTTACACCTGCTCTGTCCAGCCTCCCTGGCTCTTCCCTGCTCCTCAGGAAGCCAGCTCATCCCAGGAAGACTCAAGAGCACATGCTTCCAGGACAGCTGGAAGGCCTGGCAACACACTATCAATCTCCTCTCAGCTTTGCTCTACTGCAATGAAATGCCTGAGGCGATTAATAAAAGGTTTCTTTTTGTCTTTTTGAGACAGGGTCTGGTCTTGAGATCAGGCTGGCCTTGAACTCACATCGATCCACTTGCCTCTGTCTCTGGAGTGCTGGGATTAAAGGCATATGCCACCATGCCCGGCTTAATAAAAGTTTTCTTTAGCTCATGATTCTTGAGGTTCCAGTCCAAGGTTGGAGGCCCTATTGCCTTGGGCCTCTGGTGAGGATGGCATACTGTGTTGGGAACATGACACAGAGCAAATCACACAGGCCAGGAAATAGAGGGACTGTGGGACTGAGGTCCCACAATTCCCTTCAAGTGACCAAAGGCTTTCTTTCCCATAGGGCTCTGATTCTTAAAAGCCTACAGCACCTCCCAATAGCTCCACCCTGGGGACAAGTCTTTAATATGTGAAACTTCAGGAGACACTACCCATATTTAAACTACAGTATCTTTTCACCAGGAGTCCCCCTTGTGAACTGACCATAGTGGGGAGTGGGAAGCTGGGGACAGGACCCCAGGGAAAAAAGCAGTGGGACTCCCTGTACATCTGATGATAACCTTGTCCTGGGAGACCACTAGGCAGAGTCCAGAGGGGCTGCTCTGGGGCCAGTAGCTCCCTAGGCTCCATACAAGGCAGCAGGGTGGGGAAGGGTTCCAGTCCTGAGGCTGGGACTTGTGGTAAGGG